CACACACACACACACACACAACAGGAAGTGAAAAGATTAGAGTGAAAAAAATAAAGAACGATAGATACAGAAAAATGAAAGAAGAAAAAAGGGAGATAAAGATAAAAAGGGAGATAAAAAGAAAGATAAAAAGGCAAAGAAAGCTAAAGAAAAAAAAGAAAGAAAAAGAAACGAAAAAAAAATCATACACAGAAAGTAAACAGGAGAAAAAATGAAGTAGAAAAAATGGACAATAAAAGACGAAATAAAAATAGAGAGAAAATCCACAGAGCGGAAGGAGCGAAAAAAACATGACAAAGAACGAAAAAAAACATCACCACCAGAGAAAGAGAAAGAAAAAAAATACAGGCCATGAGAAAAGAGAAGAGACAAACACTAAGAGATAAACACAAAGAGAAAGAAAATAAGATTAAGAGAAAGAGAAAGAAAGGAAAGCAGATAAAGAAAAAAAAGAGAAAAAAAAACGATAAAGAGAAAGATAAAAAGAGAAAAAAAGAGATAAACAGAAAGAAAACACAGAAAACAAATAAAAATAAATACTACTACTAATAATAATAATGATAACTATATTCACCCAAATAACAAAGCTATAAAATCATAAATTCCCCAGCCACATTCTTACAAATAATTCCCTCCAGACAAGGGAATACCACCCTTATGCACAGCTGCCATAGGGAAAGCCTCTGCCCCGTACAGCATAGACACAGCGCCAACAGTATAAGTTATGCTGTTCAGTATTTAGTGCGGAAATAATCGAGTTTGTTGAGCGATACTGATTACGGGAAATGGTAATGCTGAGAGTAATGGGCAGTGCCAAGTAATGAGAGTGGGGCCCATTATTAGCGTTTGCATATTAATGGCGATTTTATTTGGGATGGGGGTGGGGGGGGGGGGAATAGTGGAATGGTGGGGGGGGAATGTTGGTAGGAGGGGGGGGATGGTGGGGGGATGGTGGTGTTGATGGTGATGGTGGTGGTTGTGAAGGTGGTGGTGGCGATAGTGGTACTGGTGATGGTGGTGGTTTTGATGGTGGTGGTGATGTGGTGATGGTGGTGGTATTGGTGGTGATGGTGGGGGTGGCGATGGTAATGGTGGAGGTGGAATTGTAGTGGTGATGGTGTTGGTGGTTGATGGTGTTGGTGGTGGTTATGGTTGTGGTGATGGTAGTGGTGGTGATGGTGGTACTGGTGATGGTGGTGGTGGTTTTGATGGTGTTGATGGTGGTGGAAATGTGGTGTTCGTGGTGGGATGGTGACGGTGGTAGCGTTGATGGTGGTGATAATGATGGTGATGGTGGTGGTGACCATGATGGTGTTGGTGGTGGGGATGATGGTGATTACGGAGATGGTGGTGGCGACGAGGACTAAGATAAAAATACTGATGTTGACACACTGACAATGATAACAAAGTTAACACCATTTTAGAAATCCTAATGGCAGTAACAGCAGTGGAACAAACTCTAACAACGGAAGCATTGATACCAATATTTCCAAACACATTTCTAAAACTGAAACAGCTGTTACATGTCTCGCTTTTACCAATAGGCTTTTTGCTGCATCGAAAGGTTTACAAAATCGAAAGAGATATGCCGGACAAAAAAAAAAAGTGGAAAAAAATATCTGTGACTGATAAATGAGTATTTACAGACAAAACAAAGTGATGAACAGAACCTGATAGACACATTTTACACGAATAGCCCAGAAAATGTGTGGAAAAGTACTTCACAAAAGCAAAGTTGAAGTGGACACGTTCCCTCACCCTAATAATGAAGGATGACGATAGCATTATTATGATGGTGATGATGGTGATGATGATGATGATGATGATGATGATGATGATGATGATGATGATGATGATGATGATGATGTTGATGATAGTGGTGGTAGTCGTGATAATGACATTTATAAGTAAAATAATTACAAATGTGATTATAATTGTCATAATGATTACAATTATACTTGATTATGATTATTATGACAATTAATTTTAATTACATTATCATAAACCTAATAATAATAGTAAAATAGTAATAATAACTCCAATCCTAATAATTCAGAAAATGAAAAAGCAAACAAAACCAGGCAACTAAACCTCTTAGAGCGGCATCCGATCAAGAAGTCCGGCCTCATCGCGCCAATGGGTCCGCCTTTGCATGCCCGGCGGCCATTGCGCCATTGGCCGGCCGGGTGATTGGCACCAACTCCATCGGGTATACATTAATTGTGAGGCCGGACAGCTCTTCCCCATCTTCAAAAGCATCACGTGAGAGGCCGATGACAGCAGCTCTCGACATATCACACAGCCAGACAGCGACAGCGGACCGCGAGCGAGGGAGACCATCAATAACGTAACAAGCAGAGTGGTCGCGTCGTCGGCGTGTAAGCTGCGCGTCGGTAAAAGATGGCGCTGTTGGGCCTCTCAGTCTTGCTTTTGGGTTTGGTTTCCTGTAGTTTTCTTTTTGTTTGTTTCCTGTAGTTTTCTTTTGGTTTGTTTCATTTGGTTTTCTTTTGGTTTGTTTCATGTAGTTTTCTTTTTGTTTGTTTCATTTGGTTTTATTTTGGTTTGTTTCATGTAGTTTTCTTTTTGTTTCATGTAGTTTTCTTTTTGTTTCATGTAGTTTTCTTTTTCTTTGTTTCATATAGATTTCTTTTTCTTTGTTTCATGTAGTTTTCTTTTTGTTTGTTTCATGTAGTTTTCTTTTTGTTTGTTTCATGTAGTTTTCTTTTTGTTTGTTTCATGGTTTCTTTTTGTTTGTTTCATGTAGTTTTCTTTTTGTTTGTTTCATGTAATTTTCCTTTTGTTTGTTTCATTTGGTTTTCATTTTGTTTCATGTAGTTTTCTTTTTGTTTGTTTCATGTAATTTTCTTTTTGTTTCATGTAGTTTTCTTTTTGTTTGTTTCATGTTTTCTTTTTGTTTGTTTCATGTAGTTTTCTTTTTGTTTGTTTCATGTAGTTTTCTTTTTGTTTGTTTCATGTAGTTTTCTTTTTGTTTGTTTCATGTTTTCTTTTTGTTTGTTTCATGTAGTTTTCTTTTTGTTTGTTTCATGTAGTTTTCTTTTTGTTTCATGTTTTCTTTTGTTTGTTTCATGTAGTTTTCTTTTTTGTGTTGTTTTATGTAGTTTTTATTTGTTTGTTTCATGTAGTTTTCTTCTTTTTCATGTAGTTTTCTTTTTGCTTTTTGTTTATGTAGTTTATTGTTTTTTGTTTCATACAGTTTTCTTCTTGTTATTTTCATGTAGTTTTCTTCTTTTTCATGTAGTTTTCTTTTTGCTTTTTGTTTCATGTAGTTTATTGTTATTTTCATGTAGTTTTTCTACTTGATTTTATTATCTTCTTTTCTATACTTTTACTATTCTTTTCTTTATCGTGTTTTAAAGAGTTTTGATAAAAATTTGATAAAAACTGCCTTCCCACGAAAAGCGAAGTGATTTCTTGTTATATTAATTTCTTCTTTTATACTGTTATTCCAGATTTCAGTGCCCTGTCTTACCCCCTTCGTGTATACACAGGCATAAACAAAGGCAATATATGACTATATCATTGTTCACAAAAGAACAGTCACAATAACAGTCACTTCCGATCAATACCCTTTATTTCACTCAGTCCATTTCAACATCCACTTCCAACATATCCATTCTCTATTGTATCTGCAATAAACAAACTTTCTAAGCACTTCCCCTCGGTTGCCACGGCCCCTTCTCCCCTCGTCTTCTGCGCTAGGGTATTTTTTTTTTCTATATACTGATTGGTGTATACGCTTGGGTGTGTGGTTGACATATACGTGTTATACTTATAGATTACCCATAGATTTTACTGAAATCCAACGATTATCTGTGACTTGGAACCAACCCATCCATCCGCGTTGGTTACACTGTGGAAAAAAAATAAATCGGCTCCGTCCAATGAAATCGAGGCATCATAACAAATCCGCAGAAACTCACTATGGATCCCGCTTTTTCTAGGACGAAGTAAATTGCTTCTCGGTCTCGACAACTTGAAACAGGCGGCTACGCGTTTGTTTACATTTGTCAGTCAAATGAGAATCCATGGTCTATGCTTTTGTTTTTACTTTTTATTCATATTCTAGTTTAAATATAAATGTAAATATTGATATAATACCAAACTCAAATAATTATAGATAATTTAAGATACTTGATAATAAATGCTTTGATATAAAAATTAAAAAAATCAGCAAAATCCACTGAAAGTCACTGGATTTAACGAATCTATGGGCAATTTATTCACGCCTTTAAGAAATGTTTTTGTGTGGATTTTTATCATTATTATTATTATTATTATTATTATTATTATTATTATTACTATTATTATTATTATTATTATTGCTTATTGGATCACAAGTTGCACACATACACACACTGGTCCCGCGTTCAAATACCCGCCGCGGTAGTTGCAAACTGCCTGCACTCGGACTGCTGGCTCACGGCGATAAAACGGTAAAATTACGCAATGTGGGAAGACGCCGCCGTCGTTCAAGTGGTAGCGCGCTGAATTGTGGTTGATTAGGAAAGAAATCCAATCAGGCAAGAGTGATTCTGATAAATAACTCCTCAATTATGAACTCAGAGAGTCGTAATTTCTGCAATGGAACGAATGGCTCAAGGATAATGCATTTATATAACATTAAATTGATACATGCAAAAATAAATGCATACATATACACACACAAACACACACACACACACACTCATATACATACATATATATACACACACACAAATATATATATGTGTGTGTGTGCATTTAAACATTGTATATATCCTTTTAAATATTTTTATCTCAGCAATATAAACCACATGTAATAATATTGTTCGTGTCATATTGAAATGTAGGAAAACACTATAACACTCTTGAAATAGGAATATCATTATTTCATTCCATTATCGTGCATTACTACTTGTAGTATCTTTCACTTATTTGTATCAGTGCTGGATACACGTATATGCTCACACTAAAACACATTATTGTCCGAGCATATACTCATGTATAACCACATTGCACAAGCTCGTAAACATAAGCCAGAACATATGACAAAGACTACCAACGTGAAAGCAAGCCTCATATCCATCTATATTAATTTCACTGGTGTTTATTCCATGAATATAACTGTATTATCCCTCTCTTTACCTCCTCAAACTCTCTAGGTACCCCCCCCCCTCCCTTTTCTGTATGTTACATTTTCTTTATGATTTTT